TGTCCAGACCCCACCTTTGAACACTGCTGCCTTGAAGAGCAAGCCTGCAATACATGAGTCTTCAGGAACCATGTTATGCTTAAACTATTACGCATGGGCAAGCTGACGTACTTGCTCCATGATGATCTTCTCTTTCCAGTGGACAGAGGGGCTGTCTGGCATAAAAGCAAACATACAGCTCTGTCCCTCCAAATCCTGATACTACAATGACTGCCTTGCTCTCTTTTAATTCCATCCTTCTAGGAATTAGGATTAGGATACCGGGCCCAGATTATCATCTCCATTTTATAATAAAATGCTCAGAGTTGTTATTAATTGAAGTGATTGACTTCTCAAGGAGGAGAAAGGATTACTTTCAATGCAGTCTCTCTGACTCTGAAGCCTGTGCTGGTACCAGGCTGACAGGTGGCCTAGGAGTGCCCCAACGAAAGGGCACAGCGTCCTGAAGACCTAGTGCCTCACACTAAATGGCTACACAGTCACATCTCAAGCTCATCCCAGCCCACCCCTAGTTAGCAGTCATTTCATTCATTTGTGCGCTGCCACATTTAACCATGATGTTCGCTGAGAAAGCAGAACAAGGTCCCGTTGACAAAGGAGAAGGTACTAGGGTACAGTCATTTAGCTGCTAAACAAAGGACCAGGCCTGGAACCCTGGTCACCTGACTCCAAATCACGGTTTGTGTTGTGATACAAAGCAGCCTTTGCTCACTTACCCTCCAGTTATGCTGTCCACAGCTGGAGTACCCAAGGCACAAGCAGCCCATATGCTGGCCACTTCTCTCACTTCTGCTCAGCCTTCTGCTTGTGCTAAACTGGAAGAAGTCAAACTCCTTCCCACACTCACAAGCTCCTGTTCAGCCAACCTCAGCTTATCCTGGGATTCAGGTTCTGAGAGATGGCTTCTGCCCAAGGAATTTGGATCGCCATGGCCAGCGGGTGCCTGAGAACTCGGAAGAAACAGAGCTGCCCGGTGGCCTTCAGCTTTAAGGAGCTGGGTTGGAATGACATTTAGATAGAAGAATAATATCTAAGATATATAAAGAAATCAAGAAAATTATACCCTTCACACAAAATAAAAGACCCAACAAAAGTAGAAACTGAAACCAATAAATACTTCTCAGAAGAAACACGAATGGCAAATAAAGACATGAAAATATGCTCAAATCTTTTTCTATTAGAGAAATGCAAGTCAAAACAATACTGAGATTCCATCTCACTGCAGATGAATGGCATGAAATCAGATAACGACCAACGCTAGTGAGGCTGTGAGGATCAAGAAACACTTCTGCACTGTTGTTGGGAATGTAAACTATCACAAACAGAACAAACAGAAACTAGTACAGAAAGTCCTCAGAAAGCGAAAGTAGAAATTCCATTTGACCTAGCTATTCCCTTCTAGATATCTTCCTGAAAGACTTGAAGACATCATTGCAGTGATACATACACACCCATGGAGGCGGCAGCACAATACACAATAGCTAAGTCTTTGAAGTGGCTTAAGTAACCATTAACAGATGAATGAAGAAAGAAAGTGTGGTATATACATACAGTGGAGTACTACTCTGCCATAAAGAAGGATAAGTGTGAGGCATTTGTAGGAAAGTATATGTATTTGGAGATCATAAATAGTGAAATCAGATACATGAGCTTAAATATTTCATAGCTTCTCATATATGGGAAATCTAAAATATAGATAGAGAGCTAAATTAAAGAAGTTTTGGTGGCACCCCTCTTGTGGTGCAACAGATGTGGATCCTGTCATCTCCCCACATCCTTTGAATTCTGAACACCTGATATGGAGTCCACTGAGAGTTGTTTCCCAAAGCTGCAGTGAGTCAGATTAAGACCCATACATGTAAAAGACTCCTTGTCTTTATCTTCAGTCAGAAATTTGGCAGAGGGCAAACAGCTGTGGAGGGGCCAAGAGAGACAAATAGAACTATGAGTTTTATGTAAATCGCCAGCAATTTTCTCCATATTAAAAATCTTTATGAAATTCCCCACTTGCCACCATTCTCTAACTGCTATCACCACAGCCACTGCCTACAGAAACCAGAAACTTTACGGAGCATTTTGCTTATGTCATGTCATTTATTCTCCCCACAATCTCATTAGCTAGGTATAGTATTTATTAATCATCAGTTTACAGATAAAGGAACAAAAGCTTACAGAGGTTTGCAGCCTCCCTGGGCTCACCCAGCCCTTATATGACAGAGCTGGGTTCACAGCCAGATTCATGATGAACCCAGAGGTTGAACTCAGCTGAATCTGAGGGAATGTTTTCCAAGACTGTAATGTCAATCTGATTATGCCTAAATTTAATAATATTGTCAACAATGATTTATGATCCACTTATATGTGAAAGACATTTTTTTAAGTAACATGAAGCAAACAAAAATGCTTAATCCATCAGGCTGAGCCTAAGAAGCTTAGGGACTGATTCAGGATATGTGATATGTACATGCATGTCCATAATAAGGCATGATTCCCTGTCCAGTCAGAGAAATTGAGCTTGGTAGAAACAAGGAACAGTTAGAGTGGGGAAAGGTCACCTTAGCTGTCTGAAAAGCTAGAGGATGCCTGCTCCCTCTGGAGCATCTCGTTGAATTCAGTCTTCATGACAAACACAGATAACAGTGGTAACCCTGGAGCTTCCCCCCATAGAATCATTGAGCAAGCATTGATTCACCCCCACTTTTGCATGGCTCCCCTCTATGATGAACAATACGTTACCTGAAACAGGGATGTGTGCTTTTATTCATGCTTTATCAACAAATGTTATCCCCAGCAAACACCCGAACTAGGTGGAAGAATTGAAGGGGAGGCTCGATATCCCCAAGGAGTTCCTGGTCCACCTGAAAGGCCCTCAGATAGATACAATGTGTCACACATTATAGCCCTCTGCTGTCTGCTTGTTATTAAAATAAATAAATTCTCAGTCACACAAACAATGCAGAAGAAGATGCTTTTTATATATTATGGGGGATCACAAATGACTGAATCTCTACCATGGAACAGTGTGCACAAAGACAACTTTCAAACATGAGTCAGTTGTCAGTGGAGGTTTACAGTGTCAGCTACATGAACTTTGTGATAAAGAAGTATTTCTGGGTGATGTTCTTTTTAACAGAAGTATTTCTGGGTCATGTCATAAGGTAACATTTAAGTAATCCATGAAATGGTAAGAATTCTTTGAAGAAAATTAAGGATGCACAAGGCCCGGAAACAAACAAGGAGAGGAAAGAGAGAACTCATTGTGGTAATGAAAGGAATGACAACAGGCTAAAAATGATGGGTAAAGCATGGCAAAAATCTTAAGAAGAAAGAGGAGGAGGTGGAGGAGGAGGTAGAGGAGGAAGAAGAAAAGGGGACAAGACCTTGGCTTTGAATAAAGAACATACATTTGGAAAATCTAGATTAAATTCTGGTTCATGCATTTATTAGCTCTATGGCCTCTACTACTTAATCTCTGTTTGCTCATCTGTACAATGGGACTAATAATACTTAGCAAAGTTCCTATGAGGGCAGGATATCTTGTTTATTAAGCATGGAGCACAGTGTGCAGTCTAGAGTAAAGGCTGATGTCACAAATTTTACAGACTCTTTGGGGCTGGAAATAAATGGTTATATTGGGGAAAACGTGGTCCCTGATATCCTGGAGCTCATGGTCTACCAAAAAATACATGGCTGCTCTTGGTATAGTAGCGAATCAAGTAACAGGACACAGCCTTAGAACTCATAATTATAGGGCCAACCTTAGAAATTGCCAAATATGCACAATTAACAGTGTTCTCCCATAAACTCAGTAGAGCAGTCAGGGCTGTAGCAAATGAACTTGTGAATACTTTAGACAACAGACCACTGTACAAGAAGTCGGATGAAAGGCCTGGGTGTTCTGCTCTCACTGACCAGACATGCCATTATTTGATAAAATCAGTAATGCAGATGAACTCTGTTAGATGATCCAGTTATTTCAGTAAAAATAGCATAAGATCTGGTATCACAAAATAGAAACATCTGGTTCTGGGGGAAAAAAAAAAAACCTCAAGGCAATGTGGTGCTTAGTCAAATCTATGAAAACTAAATGCAAGATGTGAATTATACTCCTAAGCTGGCCCCAGCTGGCAGGAAAGCCCCTCAGCTTCTCTACACCTGTTCCCTATCTCTGACACTGATGAAGCCCTGAAGTCATGCCCACCTCTGCGATTATAAGATGCAATAAACACAAAAATGGAGAAATGTAAATAAAGTCGGTTTTCACAGCAATGAGAATGGGTTCAATAAACAATTTGGGCAAATGGTAAAATATAAGAATAGACCATGCGTCAGTATCATTTCACAACGTGGAATCTGTGAAAACTGATTATCACACTCAAGCATCTGTGCCTTAACAATCTGTTTTGTTCTGATAATATTTGTTTTCAACCGTTAATTGAAGAAGTGATTTTTCCAAGTAATTCCAACTCTCTACTTTCGGTGAAGAATTGTTCTTTCTGGGTCATTTTTAGGTTGCCACAGTTATATGGCTAGTTTTAGCCCACAAACTGGCAGTAAGAAAAATATATATATGATCGCTTCTAACTATGTGCACTTAATGAGCAATGCAGAGCTTTCTCTTCAGTGAAATGACTCACAAAGTTCAGGGTGATGACTCTTCTGTCACTGTTGGTCTCTAGATGACTGAAATGAGCAAAGCCCTCTGCTATCTGATGATGGACATAAAAGATGAATAAGAAATTAGGTAATTATGTTACTGCAGCATAATCTAAGCTGTTTACTGATGCATTTATTGCTTCATGTTGATGTTCATGCTTATTTAACAACCGTATGTAATATAGGCTGGTTCATGCACTAAAATGCGGATTTAAATATGATTCTTTCCATATAATTAGATGCTACTGCATTTGCTGTATAAAGGACATCATTCGCATTAGTATAATTCATGTGCCAGCATGCAGCAGCTATGAAAGTCAAACAAAATAAGGGAAATGTACACATTCCACTTAACATTTTTTTTATTTCATAGACTTTAAGATTAAACAATAATTCCCTGTTATCCATGATGGGCACAAAAGATGAATAAGAAGCTACAAATTATCTTACAGTTTTTACAAAGCTCTTGCATCCAAAAATTGTACATCATTTATGAAACATCCACAACAATACAAGGTAGATGGTGTTAGTTCCACTTTACAAGCAAAGAACTTGAGAGCCACAGAGTTTAAGATGCGTAAAATTGCCAGTTAGTCATTGAGCTGTGATTCCGGTCTCCTGAGCACTCATTTGAGACTAACGGGGCGACATCACATTTCCTTCAGTGCTTTTCCTTTGAACAGGGGATTCTTTCCATGTCTGTCTTTTACAATGATGTTTCCCCACAGTGGCAAACTCTTGCCAACCAGCCCCTTCTCATTATTAGTTTGTTCAAAAGAACACACTTCAGGTTTAAATTTTCTGCCAGGGACTCCCAGACCAGTAGGTCACTCTGCTGGTGGGTCTCCAGGAAAAGGCCATCCCCTAAGTTGGTTAATTGGAGATCAGCTCTTTGGGCAGCTCTGAACACTGGGATTCTGCCCTGATTATCAGTCCTGGCTCTGATGTTGGAGAGGCAAACAACCTAGTGTCATGAATAATCCTAATTCCAAGACTGGCAAAGTACCTGTCCTCTGAATTAGGGGATGGTGAGTTTCACATCGAGCAACGACCCCTCAATTGCTTCTCAACTCCTCTCCCAAAGATCCCAAGACTCTTCCACTCCTTTGAGACTATCACCTCCTTTTTCTTTTCATCCTTTGCTTCTTTGGCCTCTTGTGATAAATCTTTATCACAAGTTTATCAGCTTCTTTCCTTAATTAACTCTAAGTGAATGAAATCTCTCCAATTTCTAGGTCATAGTCACATGAGATCCCAGTTGGACTTGGACAAAAAGACTCAAAGACTTGCCCAGAAAATTTCTACCATCAAGGTCTTCAGAGGTAACCAAGAAATCCTATGCCTTCTCTCCTCAATTAACATGTTATATCCCAATGATAAAACATTTCAAAAAAATCTCCTGCAGAGGATCTAAAATTCCAAAAAATTCCCACAAACCTAAACAGTGATGTTTGCATCTGTATTTGGAGGTAAGGTGGCATTAGAGAAGCCCAGATTTGCACCTGCTTTATCACAAAAGTGACAGAAGTTTCAGGCACACAGAGAAGAGTCTTGTCCACCTCTATCAATCACCTCTGGAGCCTTAATTTCCCTTTATCCTCCTCTCCCTTGGGATCTACATGTGCAACACTGAGACTGGTGTAGTTTGTCCTTTGAAGAACTTCCTTCTGTTTCAGAGTCAGATGCCAGTTCCCATGTAGGAAGAGGATGCTTTTAGGCTGTCTTCCTGGAGACTCAGTCCTTCTGCTCCTCTCAAGAAATCTCTATAGAACTGGAAAAAAGGGCCTCATAAGACAGAGAAGGGAAATTTCCTAGAGTGTTCTGTAACATATTCTTGGACTTCTGTTTTCCTGCTGCCTTAAGGCTCCTAAAGATAAGGTTAGGTCTTGGGGCTCCTAGAAGTAGTGACCACAAGTAAGCTCTCTGCCCTTTATTATAAGGAACTTTGTGGTTTCCACCTCCTGGCTATCTAACCAGGGAAAATTCTATTACATATTTTAGTGGGCTCCTTGACAATGCCTTCAGGGCTTTTTCTCAGGAGCAATTTCATATAGATTTGTAAGACTATTTGATCAATGTATTTCTCCACTGTTAGACTAAAAGTCTTCCCACAATGGGCGAAGAGTAGGTACCACTCAATAACTATTTGTTGAAAGCATGAATTAGTCATCGCTGCATACAGCAAGAGATAATGAACTTAAGCTAAAGTTAAAAGAATTAGCACAGTCCTAGCCCTGGAACTGGGCTGCCCACTATGAAATTCCAGCTCTTCAGCTTATCAAATATTTCTCTCTTGCTTCATTTTTAAGTTCTAAATGGTGATAATAGTAGTACCTACTCCCTAGCATTGTGAGATTTAAAAAAAAACAAATATATATACAAATGTATGTGTATATATATTTTATATATGTATATATATAATTCTTAAATAATCTGGCAAATATAAACACTAAGTAAGCACAGACATTGTTTATTTTACAACTCACCTGTTTAACACAGTTGTTCAGACTTATGACCAAGACACACTGGTCGCATTAACCACTCACGGCTTACACTTACGTCTTAGTTACTTTTTTCTCATTGCTGAAACAAAATACAGGATGCCTAAATTAAGGAAGAAAAAGTTTATTTAGCTCACAGTTTGTAGAGGTTTCAGTCCATAATCTGTTGACTCTGAGGCAGGGTGACATGGCACAAAGGCAATAGTTCAAGGCAGCAGAAGACAGCAAAAGTCACGAGAGCCAAAAGGGGAAGGAGCAAGCCTCTTTTAATCCCTTATATGGATGCAGGCTACCCACTCCAGGGTGGACGCAGCACTCACACCATCTCTGTGCCTTCCTATTGTACAGACTGAAGATGTTTACAAAGTGAGGGCCCTGGAACCCTGCTAAGTATAGCTGGAAATGCTGTTAATTCTGTTTCCTGAGGTTAGAGCATGAAAAACAAGAGATCCAGGTATAGCCTGCCTCACTTGGCCACATGAGTCTTTAGGGGGACACTCAGACACAAACCATAACAACTTATGACCTGCATTCAGGCTTATGACACAGGAATGTGAAGGATAGTGCAGCCTTATGGTGGCTTCTTCTACAGCATAGCACTATAATTTATGCTGACTGTGTAATTCTATGTTCTGTTATTCATTGTGGTCCCATGTATAAGGGTTATGCAAATAAAAGCAAAGACATTAAGTTAGACTTTCCTGTGAGCATTTCTTCATTCTGAATATTGTAATAGATACTATGTACAATTCCTCATTTAACAACTAAGTCACCAGAAGGGAATTCAGTCATTAAACAGGAATGTTTGGATTAGCTAGTGACAGTCTGCTTACAGATGGTGGGTGACTGAGGGAATAGTTCTGATTTTATTATTTACAAGATATAAGAAGAAAAGTTGTATGCGTTCTATGCATCCAAAGAAGCAGTTTTGAGAGTTACAAAGGGGGAAAAAAGATTATCTAACATAATTGTTAAGTGAAGGTTCTGGCTAAATCTAGAAATGAGGCATATGTGAGTACTGTAATAGATGATGAGTTTGTTGAAGGAATGGCAATGTAAACCATGAAGACATCTGACAATGAAGAGCTGATCATAGGTGTCTAGAACCAAAAGATTAAGTGGGTATCATGGTAACAGGCAAAATGACTGCAGATCTGGTGGGGAGAGACCTGGTACAAGTCAGAGGGTCTGAGACTGTTTGCAGAGTCTGAGCCCTTCAAAGAAGAGTTGGTGTAAAGCATGCAAAGGGCACAAACTTTGAAGCCACAAAGCCCAGGCTTAAATTCTAGGAAAGCTATGAGTTCTCCAGGATTTAGGTGTACAATAACCTCTCTCTACTTAAGTTTCCTCAAGTGGGAATGGTAAAATGAGAATAATAACAGGAACCAAATTTCCAAAGGGCTGAACATGTACTACACACCGACACTATGTTTTAGATTTAATTTAAAACATTATGACTTTGTATGCAAAACACATCTCTAGTCAACGGACTGAGGGTTGTCCATTTGTCTTGGAAAGGGAGAGAATTGAAATAAGGACACATGTAAAATTGTAGGAAGGATTCAGTTGTTTGGATTAATAGCTAAGGTTATGGGAGAGACAAATTCAGAAGACTAGTGACAAGGAAATTGAACAAATGTTTTGAGGAGTCAAGTGGGGACAGAGCATGTGAATGTCACCATAATGCCCCATATAGAGCTGGTGTGGCACCCCAGTTGACCAGATGGCACTCTGTCCATGGTCTTTCCACCTTCTTTCCTCCTCTGCCTGAACATAAACTCCCAAGGATGATTCTGCCTGGTAAGCTATATTTGGCAATTTTCTGTTACGGGGGCAAAGTGCCTGATCCCTGAAATTTATGAGGGATAAAATTTATTTTTAGCACATGATTTCAGAGGGGCTAGTCCATGGTTGACTGGCTGCAAGGCAGAAACATCATGGCAGAAGGATACAGCAGAGGATGACTGCTCTACTCATGGTATCTGGGAAACAGAATGCAAGAGAATAGCACTCCAGAGGAAGAAGCCAGAGAGAAGAGATATTCCACCAAATCATACTCTCATGACCAGATAGAAGACCCAGACACACCCAACAGTGTGTGTTACTAATTTTCTAGGTGTCTTTCAAACCTACCAATGGACAACCAAGATTAACCATTACACAAATTTACTCAGACAAGAATCAGTTCTTGTTGCTAACAACAGTTACAATTAATAATGCAGACTCCCCAATCCTCCTAAGACAGAAACTATGGGAAAAGGGTCCAACAGTTCCTTTTTTTAAACATTCTTGATGATTCTTAAAACACACTGAAACTTGAGAATGCTGCTATACTAGAATTCTGAGATGCCTTCTAACCCTGATGACCTCATATCTGAGGTTGTCTGATGACATGAACTCCTAAGCCCTACACCCTGTGCACCAGCACAGTTTCCATAGAGCCATCTCTCAGATGTAGAAAGGGCAGGAAAGCAGAATCCCTGGAGCCCCTCCCTTGCCCCAGCCTCATCCCCATACATGGCTGTGTGTTACCTGGTGTGGAGTACTCATAGCCACTGGTACTCTCTCTCACTCAAAGTAACACTGTCTTTTTCCAGGATCCCTGACACTCTTGGAAGGTATGTTAGTCAGTTTTCTATCACTATAACAAAATACTAGGGGCAATTGACTTATAAAAAAGAAAAGTTTGTTTGGATTGTATTTCTGGAGTTTCCAGTCCAAGACTGAGTAATATCATTGCTTTGGGTCTCTAGAGAGAGTGGCATTTCATGACAAGAGTATGATGCAAAGCAACCCGATCCCTTAATCAGCCTGGAAGCAGAGAGACACAGGAAGAGACTGAAATCCTATAATTACCTCAAGGGGGCTTCTCTCCACTTCAAGGAGTCCAGCCATTAACTTAGTGGGAGCTGAGTACAGTCCCTACCAAGGGTGAACGCTGGGGACTCCAGCAACTGTGATGAGGTGAGCGGAGAAGGGGGCGAGTGTGCTCAGACAAAGCCTCTGTGGCTTCTCCAGTGCTCCTCCAACCACACCCACATCCACTGTCTCCAGTATCTTTACAACAGCACCACCACTGGGCAGACCCCACTGCAAACCTCCAGCCTCACCTGGAATATGGCACTGGTTTCAAACTCCTCAGGCTGCTGCTCAGACCCCCATGGCCCCACTTCAGCTTGTCTTTCTGAATTCACATGGTCCCACACTGTTCACAGGTCTGCACAAGCCAGGGCAGCCCTTTGCACTCTTTCCACTGCGCTTCCCACACCCTCATGAGGCCTGGGCTATGCTGCTGTGATGTCCCCTTTCTGTGCTGAGCACAGATTTGGCCTCTCTCCCTCACCTGCACTAACTCCAACTCCATGTCAACATGCATCTTCATTCCCTGCCTTGACCACCCACCAACCCCAAGGCTCTTTTACAGCTAACTGGGTGGTAAGAGTCTCACAGATAGGAAACAGAGATCATGAGCTCAAAGCCAGCTCAGTCCATGTATAGTCGCATGATCTGGGAGTCCACCATCATTCCCTCTAAATTGCACTGGCAAGACCGTTATTTCAGTAACTGAGACATAAAATGTCTATACAATGCACAACACACAGGCAGTGCTTAGGAAGTGGTGGGTGACAGTGACAGTAAGACCTCCTACTTTAACCCCTTTATCTGCTCACATGTTGATGCCCCAGCTGGACTCTGATTGTCATTACTGTACTGTCTGATCCAGCCCCACACTTGGTATTTGGCTCATTTCTTGTTTCTTATCAGGTGTTCAAGACATAATTTTCTGAGGTCTCTAAATGTTTGTGCTATAAGTTCATGGGGCATTCTTTCTTCCTCCTCCTCTTCTTCCTCTTTCTCTTCTCCTTCTCCTTCTCTTTTTCTTTCTCTTTCTCCTTCTCCTTCCCCTCTTCCTTCTTCAGAACTGGGATTGATTGAGCCAAAGGGATTCTCACCAAGCTATATTTCTATCCCATTCTTTATTTGGAGACAGGATCTTACTAAGCCACTTAGTTGCCCAGTCTGGGCTCAAACATGCAATCCTCCTGCCTCTGCTTCCAGGGTGCTGGGCTTATAGGCAAGCACCCTGATGCTTGATTTTCACTGGCTTTTAAGTGAGAAAAAACGGTGGGGAAGGCTGAGACCTGCTTTACACTGTGCCAGGGGCCTGGCGACATACAGGAATGAAAGTCTCAGGGTAAAGCTGAATGTGTATGCTCTGTGAGGGAAGCTCTCAGAGTCTCATTTCTGCTATGGAAGCTGGTGCCTGCCTGCACTGAGGAGCTGGCAGCTTGCTAGGGAAACCACTCTGTTGTCAAAACACATCCCAGCTTCTCCTGCAGGGCGCATCAGCTAACAACTTGGAGGAGGATGGCAGAGCAAGCTCTTGGGGTTCAGCGCTGATAAATGATTTGCGAATGTCATGTAGGCCCTGAGTGGACAGCAGCAGAACTTGGCACTGACCTCAACTTCAAAGAAATGGAAAATTGTGAAACCCAAACTTTCTCCTACAAACACATTTCTATATTTTTAAACTTATAAAAACTAAAAATAAGTATAAATATATGCATTCTCTACCATGCTATCATAATAAAGCTTCCTTATACTGACAGCAATTTTTTATGCTTCACTTTGCTGTTTTTCCCTCCAGACCCATGACCCTCACATTCTTTTCTCTCCACCCAGACCTCCTCTCTATCCCAACTGATTGGACCAGTCATAATTCAACCAGTCACCTAGCAAGCATTTATCACACTCCACTGTGTGTCTGTAACTTGGTGGGTGGCCAAGAAAGATCATAGAAGAAAATAATCCTCAAGGATTAATTTAAAATCAAATTATTGTGTCAGATCTGTCTCCAGTCCTAAGCCAGCTTCTGTTGACCTTCATTCAAGAGTCAGTCAACAATTACTGACCACCAGTGTGTGTACAGAGATGGATGAGTTAAACAAGGCCCAGGTTCTCGGGAAATTTTGATCTCAGTAGGGAAAAGGAGCAAAAGTAAGTAAACAAGCTGAGTGTAGCAGCATGCACGCCTATAATCCTAGCTTCTCAGAAGGCCGATGCAGGAGGATAGCAAGTCCAAGGCTATTTGGCACAACTTAGAGAGACCTTGTCTCAAACAAAATTTTTAACTGAGAATATACCCGGAGGTAGATGGCTTACCTAGCAACCATGAGGACCTAAATTCAATTCCCAGTACGTGAAGAAGAAGAGGAAGAGGAGGAGGAGGAAGTAGAGGAAGAGGAGGAAGCAAGCAAATAAATACAAGTTCATAAGTAGTGTATGTAGTAAAGGAAATACAGAGTAATGAGACAGAGCTAGATGGGTGACCAGCGCAGCCCCCCAATGAGACAGAGGACGCTCTTGTGGGTAACAGGTAACTGCCGCTTTATTGTTGCGGGTTCTGGCTTATATATCTGACTGTGGCCAATCAGGCTGCCACGAGGGCTGCCACGAGGAGGCAGGGCCGGAATGAGACACGGGCTCTGGCCAATATACCCAGCTGTGGTCAATCAGGGGTTGCCACAGAGTCAGCACGGAGCAAATACAAAGTGAGCACGGGGTGGCTAATTTGGAGAAGGATGTAGCACATTTCGGAAGCTGGCGTGGTCCTTAGTCCCGGGTGGGGTATGGTATGATGAGCGCCTGCGCCCAACAGATGGGCTGGCCAGGCAAGAGGCCAGAAGCTGTCCTGAAGGGACAGTATAAATATTTTACCAAGAGATCAAATATAAACTTGAAGAGATCCTTAAATCTCCCATCACCCCACAAATCATGGAGAGACAAAATGATAAGGAAGTAAACCCAGAGAAACTGCCATGTCATCTGTGTTTCTGGATCAAAGTCAAGGACTACAATTTACTCATAGAGGGAAGCACAGTGCCCAGCACATAATAGGTATTGACGAATGAATGATAGCCATGAGTGTCTGTTTGTAATTTACTATCATTCAGGCAGTGCACGAAGCACTTGCCATGAACTGTCTCCATGAATTCCCATGACCACCATGTGAGGAAAGTCCTGCTCTCCCTACAGGACAGATACAAACACATTTCACAGAGGATAAGCAGCAGAGATCACATTAAACCCAGGCCTCCACATTTTAACACCCACTCACCTGACTGCAGGTAATGTCCCATGACTGTTCATTTCTAGAACCTAACAGAGACATGGGGACTGTGTGCTTTAGGATTTGGGGTTTTGGAATCCATATACCTATAGGAAGTGGCACCTGGTAAATTCCCTAAGCACTGATCCTTTTCCAATATCCCACCACATAGTCCCTCATCTCATACCAGCAGAAGTCTGCAGCACATTTTGTTTCTGAAGCTGGGAAAATCAAAGCAAAGTTTTTCCCCCTCCTGTGTAGCTCATCTGGAGAGGAAACTTAGTGAAGCGGTGGACTTTTAATTATTTTGTGCTCACTGTGAACTCAGAATCACACTGACAAATGATGCACATGCTGGCTGCTCAGATCCCTGCTGGAGACGAAGCTTAGGCTGTGATCAGGAACAGAGCTGCATTCAGGGCCTCACAGGTCCTGGGGTGCTCCCTCCCCGCAACACTCACCTGTCCTCTCACACACCTGGATGTCCCCTCCCTGGAGTCTTCTCTAGGAAGGACCCCTTCATCTCCATCCTTTTGCTCCAGCCCCTCTAGCCCCCAGATTCACCTGAAATGGAGCCAGTTCTCAGTGGGGAAAATTCTTCTGATAGCAGCTCTAAGTTTGGCTCTCTCCTTCTCCTAAATGCCCACACCTTGCACTTCCTTCCTGATTTTTGTGTCTGGCTGAGTCACCTGTGTGCTTGGTTTAGGGTGCTTGCTAGATTGTGGGCAGATTAAGTCCTTCTAAGTCATCTTATCTTTGCACATTAATGACTCAGGACCTACTGTAATGGCACCTCAATAAATGCTGCCGAATCCAACTTGACAGTGTCATTTTGAAGGGAGTTTGTCCTTGTATTTCTCTCAGAGCTTTCTTTACATGATAATAAGAATAATAAGTTACCATTACTGAGGGCTTACTGCTGGATGAACAGCTATGGAGTTTTATTATTTTACATTTTATTTATTTTTCAATTGTTTTGTTGTTCCTGGGGATGATATCCAAGGTCTTATACGTGCTGAGGAGATGTTGTACCACTGAACCACACCCCAGTCTAATATAGTTTATTCCATTTGTCCCTAGATAATTCTGTTAGAAAGCCCTGTTATTGTCCCTAGTGAATAGTGGAAAAAACTATTTAGAAAAATATCACTTATTCTTGGTCACATAGATCATAAATGGTGAAATCAGGATTCAAACTCTGATCTAATTACCTCCAAACCCCATTAATTGAACTTAAATGCTTGATTGATGGGTACCTCTTCCTGTCTGGCCACAGGCTCCTTCCCATCCCACCACCCCAGTTCTTTCTTCCACTGTCTTTGCCTGTTCCCCAGCATCCTGCCTTCCACCTCAAGACAGCATGTTCTGCATCTGCTCTCTGGAGGCAATGCCTACCCCCTGAATTCTGTAGCCTCTACTGTCCCTCATACTGCCAGGCCCTGCCTGCCTCCACCCTTGTGCATCCCAATGCTTAAACTCCCCTCTTGTAAGGCATCACCTTATAGTTATTTGCATTTGTTTTAGTTACTTTACAAAAATGTACAAGTGACTATTAAGCCCTTCAAGTTCAATGGGAAATCACCATTTGACAAGAAGATATGCAACATTCAAAGAAATCTGAATGTGTTCCCAGAGGAGAGTTCCACAATGTTTCAAGCAATGGCAATGCACATGTCTTTAAATATTCACTTATTTGAGCACTAGAGGTCCATACATAGATATTTATCTACTATTCATCATACAACTCAATGGTTTCACTAAATAAACTTTCCAATATGATCCTATCATTGTTCTGTTTTCAGGCTATTCTGCCATCTCTGAAACACTGTGTTCATGCTGACCCCCCCTCCCACTTACCCATATCAGGAGGAGGCCAGGCTAGGCAAGCATCAGAGACTGTGGTTCTGATTCACGGCACAGGCTGACTTGACTTCTCCATGTTCTCCTGGAAGCAATCCAATGAACCAGCCCCCAGCAAGCCTCTGTTAAAGCTGCAGAACGAAGCTGTCTGGCTGTGGAAATCCCAAACTCCACTTAGACTCGGGTCTGCCTTTGGCGGGGGGTGGGGGGGGGCCGGCACGCCAGCTGTCACCATCTGCCATCCATATCCCACTTGCAAAGTCCCCTGAGCAGAACTGACCTGACTGTGATGTGGGCCTGGGATGGGCCCAGGAGAACTCGAGTAGGAATCTCTGGGGAACTCAGAGGATGGGGAGACTGAGAGAAGACTGGAGCATCACATGGAAGAGAAAACTTGAGCCGTGTGCACCTGTTGAACAGGGAGATGAGAGAGGTTTGAAGAAGCTTGACATGTGACACATCACTAACAAACACAGAGGGAATTGTTGGAATTGTGGGGGACATTCTTTAATTTGTGCCTCATTTGGTACTGTTTTTATTTGAAATTACATATGAGGAGCTCCACATTCTTTTTGTTGCTTATGACTTCTTAAGATTTCATCCAGTCTTAAGCTGGGGATTGGAGAAATGCATTATGTTGGATTGGTGCTGAAGATATGGATTAGAGGCCACAGAAGGCCCTAATGTCTCAAGTAAGCCTAATTCCCAGCATCTGCACAGCAGCTGGCTGCTCAGTATACAGCAGTGGCCTGAGGGACCGTGCCTGGATCCTGCTGTGTTATGTTAACCAACCTTGTGCCTCATGCAAAGAACAGCAGAGAATGATGGAAAGAGACATTGTCACTACCTTACCACCTTGTCCTTATCTTGGGTGACCATTTAATTCATCTTTCAAAATGAAGAATTTAGGGAAAAGAGAAAGAGAGTTACAAATGATGAGACTTAAGGGGTCAGTAACATATTCCTTGCTGTGCTTGGCAAATCAGGCATGGCCACTCTGTCCCTCACCAATATGATTTTACCCAGAGCTGTGACTTCTCCAGCTTTCCAACTCTATCCCTCATCTGTCTCCACCCTATATCTCTCCTAGGTCTATGCAATAGCTCCTGAATCCCTCCCTACAGAATTGTCTGTGGAAGTCCAGAAGTACCACCTTGGTTGGTACTATTATCACTCACCTGGATGCGAACCTAGTGAGCCAGGGCAGAACAAAAGGCACTGTGCAATGAGAACAGTGCTCCCTTGGCTGCCTGGGTGCCAGGGATCCTCTGTAGGAAACATTTACGGGCAGCGTTTGGTGTGGCAGACCCAGAAGCACTGGTCCTTTCAGCCTGGAGAGGAGTTAGTGCTGTCCACAAAACTCTACTGAGGAGCTGCGGAGGCCACAGCCATCTCTGGGCACTGAGATGCACTGTGAGCTGAGGAGCAAGCATCAGGCAGTGATGGAGTCTCTGGGCTTTGGTGGACAGCCAATGACCAGCTACAGGTGAGGCAGCAGTGTCTGTGACAGGAGCTCCAAAGAAGAAGTGGCTTTGGACTGGAGGGATGGAGGATGACTTCTTTGAGATGTATTTGGCATCATACTAAGGAGGATTTTCAAAGTTAGGCTTAAGGGACTAAAATTGCTACTTGGGAGCCTGGGATGATGTGATGGAGAGATTAATGTGGAACTGTATGCAAGAGGTAGAAAGTGAAAGTGGGGCAGAGAGACCAGGAGCAGGTGACAGTGTTACCCAGACTCCCACTCAGAACTGATGTCCAAATGAGACAGATTCTGCAGGTGGCTTCATGGCAACCTAATAAGGACAATAAACAGCACTAGAATGATGACAAATGGTGCCCTGCAGAAAGAGAGAGATAGACAGACAGACAGAGACAGAGACAGAGGGAGAGAGCAATAGGTGAAGAGAGGCCTAATCAATAGCCAGGGGTCCATGTCAGTTATTCAGCTTGTGTTGCAGTGGGACACTTTGGCCACTGAAGTACACACAAAATTGCCTGCCTCAACTGTCTAAGTGATGTCACGTAAAAATGGCACAGAGGGTAATGATGAGCAATTTAATCCACAGTGCAGAAAGCAAACACAAGGGCATGGGTATCTGTGGCCCAGGTCCAGGATTACTGTCCTGTATTACTGAGTAGTACTATTTTATGTTATATCAGTGATAGCTGTTTACAGTAGCTGCCAAAGGGATGGCTGGAGAAAGGCTGGACTCTTTGGAACCAAGCTGCAGTATAATCTTCAGTTGTAGAGCTGGAATAATTTGTAAATGTACAATAATTGCTACATTGTAATAGTGTAACAGTAGCAGCACTTAGAACTCCCTAAAGTGCAGATCCTGCCTTGGGACACAATTTATACAATTACCAAACTATGAAGACAAAGCAGATACAGCAGATCATTTTCTGTAGAACTGAAGAGGTAAAGGGGAAATGGTCAAGTTCATTTCTTTTTCTGTATAATCTTGCAGTTCAGCAGATCACTACTGAGCTCCCAGTTCATGAGATCAGAGCTCAAGGTGTCATTAGTGTCCAGAGAAGCTATGCCATCTGCCAGGCTGCCCACTCACAGCTGGGAGGTAAGGCATTGTGCAGGTGCCCAGTCCAAGGAGTAACAAGTGACAGAAGGGCATTATGAGGAGGAGAGTGCATTCTTGGGCACAGAACTCACACTAACTAACACCACATTGGAATAATTTCTGGGCCCACTCTTCTGAAGATACCTTCTTGCAGAAACTTTAGCTGAAATAACTCCACTAGACTTAAATCAATCCTGCTCCCTCCAAACTTTTAAGTACAATTCTATTTTTTAGGATGTTTGTAGCTAGTTCTTTGGTCAAATTTTGGTTTGTCTGAAGTGATTCCTGCACACATCTCCTGAAGTATAGGCAGGTGGAACTTGCTCACAGAAGTAGATAAGTTCCCAGAAGGCATCATGTATCTCATTTATATCCATGGACTGAGAGGCTCATACCAACAGATTTGGGCCACCTTGGGAGACAGAAATGCCCAGAATGTCACCCGTGAGAGAGGTGATGAAGAGCTTGTGCAGGGGAGGGGACCCTGGTCAATCTCTGCCAGTCAGTGCTCATGGTGGCTCTGCCAACACATCTCTCACGTGGGGTCAGAGGCACAGCAAAAAGACCCAGTTCCTGCTAGACAGGTTGAAGGAGTGGGGTTGGCAGGATGAAGGGGAAATGTCACTGTCCTCTGGAGTTCTTTAGTCTCGAAAGAACCACACAGCAGGGTCCCACTGTGGGTCCAAGCCAAGGTCAGCATCCAGATCCAGCATCAGCGCTGACTTCCCAGCCACAGCCCCCTCTGTGCACCTCCCTCACTCAGGATATAGCCCCAGATCACTCAGCTCTGCTTCTTGACACAGACTTTGAACTGCCTGAGTCCCTTGAGAGCTGGCAAATAATCAGGGAGCATCTCAGGGCCTCTGTCAAGCTTCCTCCCAAACTAATGGGAAAAAAGTCAGACTGAAACCTCCTCTCACTTTCCAACAAAACCTCAAAGATCCCTGGATAAGAGGCTCTCGTTTCTTCTGGGTAGTGTGTGCCGCAGTGCCAGGCTGCATCCCACTCAGTGAGTGACAGAGCAAGGGCAGGACCCAAAATCTCACTCAGTGCTCAGATGGCCCTGTGTGTCTCTGAACTCCAGCTCTGCAAGAGTCCTCCAAGCTCTGTTCTAGAAAGAACACAGGCTCCTTCCTAGGTCCCCATAGTCCCCTCACCTCTGCTTTGGCCTTGACCTCCACTTGAACATTGCTACTGTATTTACTTGCTTACTTGTTTTTTGATTGGAAAACCGGTCAGAGAAGATCCCTTGCCAGGTATTCTGATGTCCTGCACAGTGCCTGCCTCGTAGTGAATATCTGTTGAATGTGTGGAAGAATGCATGAGTGATAATACTACATCTACTAGATGAGAAATTTGATGTTTCCTCCCAGACAGTGGAATGCTTGTTTATGAGACCTTGTTGATCACAGTGCTATAGCTTCGTATTCTAAAGAGGCTTGATTTTTGCAAGAAATGCTAGTTGAAGTAAGTAAAATCAAATCAGAGAAAGACTCACAAGCATGACTGATTTCCAAGAGGCATCCTCCACAGGCAGCTCCATTAAACAGGTGTGGTCAGAACATGCCACAGGAGGCAGCGCTGGTGGGGAACCCCCATGAGAGTTTAAGATTTGCATGCTGGAATAGAGTAGACTTTCTCAGAAAAATCCCCTAGAAGTCAGGGGAAACAATTCCAACCCTATTCTACTTAACTGGGGGTGTCACCTTGGATAAATCACCTCTTTTCTCTGCAGCTCCATTGCCTCATCTATAAAATTAGAGAAAGGCCAGATTTTTTGTTAGATTGCTTCTGGCTTAAATATTCCATAATTTGGCATAGGAAATAAATGCTAAGTGAAAGGGATGGTAATGAGTATCCTGCTGTGTCTTGGGTTGAGTTGTTCAGAGCCACACAGACCCCTCCTGTGAATGCTACCGTGGGTACACAGAAGTGAGGCAAGGCCAATGCTTCTCTACAGCCTGGACATAAAGAAGAGCCTACACATGAAGAAGACAAGCAAGTTGCACCATCCAGCAGCCTGTGCAACCTTAAACCTAGAAGAAGCTTCAGAAGACAAGGTGCATCCCATGGCCCAGTTTCCAGAGTTCCAGGCATGATTTCCAGTGTGGCATCCTCTTCCTCCTCCCTGGAAACAGAGTACTATGTCTCATAGCCATGTAGGAAAGTCTGATCTCCATGAGGTGGTGGAAGAAAGCTACAGTCTCTGTAATGCCAGTGTGAAGTCCTCTCCCCAAATCAGGGGTTTGACATTTGTGATAAATACAGGTTGAATGGAGTACAATCAAATCAGAGGAGAAGAAGCAAGGTTTGACAGGTAGAGCTAGATACCCAGGAGACCGCCATCTGCATGACAGATGATAGGAGGATGGCCATTCAGTGGAGGTAGATTTATACATTTTTAAAGGATTACATGCCAAATGATTGTACAGTATAAATACCTTCATAATAGCCTCTATTTTGCCTCTTGCACTATAAACCCTGAAATATCAATTGTTGAAAATTTTGCCATCTCCTCCCCTAAATAACTGCAGAATCCCTTGCTCTTGGGAAGACTGAGTTCCCACTATGGTCTCTGGCCCTGAAACCTCGGCTCCACCTTGAAAGGTGGCAGCGGGGATTGAGCAGTGATTCTGCTCTGCACCAGGACTTTCATCCCCCCCGCCCCATGCCTTCCTCTTCCTAGTAACCCTGCCAGTAAGCAGTCCTTCCTCACTCCACCTGCTCAACCCCACTCTGTGCCAAGAGCTTGCAGAAGCCTGCGAAGTCCTTGGCCACACTTTGCCCCCACTGACTTTTTTGCTGAGGGCTTCTCCAGGAGACATAAACTATCCCAGGACAAGACCCATATCTTGACACTTCTCTAGTACATCATACACACATACCACATCCAGGGGACAAGTTGGCTTGGAGGACATGGGATGCAGAGGTCAAGTAAAAGAGTCCATCATGCACAAATCTACCATTTCTAGAGGGGACTTGGAGCCAAGTGTCCCTGCCCCAAAAGAAACCTGGAAATCTTCCATGGTTCACTTAGAGTAATGCAAATTCTGTGTGGGAAAATTCCTCAAAGGCCAGGAATCTGTTTCAGGGAGTGCTCCCAGAAGGATGAACCACAGGGCTGTGCTTTTAAAGTAAGTGAAAGATGTTTTTCTTGTATATGTAATTGCTTAGGGCTCAGTGAGCATGAGCTTATGAGCAATAACACAGTGAGTTCAGAAAAACAGGGAGCAAATGTTTTGCTGTCCTCACACAGTGAAGGACACCCAGGGGCAGCTGCCCTGCTCTCTGTGACTGAGTTGCTGAAGCTGATAGATTATGTATCCAGAGAGGACTTCCTGCCGGAGAGCCAAGAAGAGACATCTGGATACAGAGCTTGGCTGAGGTTACTTGATTTAATCTCCTCAGGAAGGTAAAAGCTGTGGGTGGGAAATCAATGGCAAGAGAGAAGGGAGTGGTGGGAGGCCACAAGAGTGGGCCCTTAACCCCAGCCCGGGGGAAAAACTGTGGCATTCAGTTCTCTCTTCTGCTAATTCCATGAAAAAAGCAAACCATGGTGGCTGGAGTGAGAGAGGGCAGTGATTTCCAGACCTGCAGCAACAAGTGCACAGAGAATTCAGAGAGCCTGCAACACTAAACTGTCTGTGAGTGACTGGGCTGGGCTCATGCCACTGGCCACCAGGAGGGAGGCTGCAAGAGCAAACTGATATGCCCAACCCCAGGTTCCCTCTGGAGCCACCTTATCCCTTTTATAAATCCTCTCTAAGGCATCCCTTCCCTCACACAAGATCAGGAGGACCCTCCACCCCATTCTCACTTTCTCCATCCCCACCCTGAATATGTATACAAAATTTACCTATTTGTGGGCTAAAGATTCCATCCATTCAAACAGAACTCATTTTGAGGCATCTGGACATATTTAAAAGTTAGGTGCTGCTCACTCTTCCTTACTGAAGCCTAAAGGAACTGACCTCCAGGCTGAAAGTAGTAACATTGGCTTTGTTCTGTTGGGAAGGTGGAATTAGTCCCAGTCCTGAACGCTAGACCCACACTAAACCCAAACACTTGCTTTAAAGGCATAGAGGACTGGAACTGAGACTGTGGCACTGAACTTTGGCAGGATGCCCTGCTTTTAGGCAAACTGTAAATTATAAATAGAGTGCCTCTATTCTCCTTCCTCCACTTGGGGATGTAATGAAAAACAGCACAGCCTTGCCTACCCAATCCTCCTGTTTCCTCCTCAAATTGGCTGTTAACAGTTTTTGACTGGAAATGACTCCAGGCATTCAAACAGACACTGGCTTGTCTGATGGTGCCATATTTAAATCCGCAATTCCCAGACGTGAATGTTGTGGATCCTCTCTCACTCATAAGGAGACCTCAGCACACCCCGGAACTAGCTTTTAGGACTGAGTTATTCTGCAAGATGTGTGATGACAGACCAGCAGCACTCCTTGTTGAGGCTGTAAAGCAAGCTGGCTTTCAATTATTCAGCAGGAAAAGTAGCAACAGGAATCCTGAGAGCTAATCCCAAAGAGAAATGTAGCCAGTATTGCACCTTTTGTAAGGACTTGCCACAATCATGCAGTACAAAGGGAATAAAGGGATTAGTCCTGAGTTCAGTGATTACTGGGGCTAGGTCATAGTCTGTCAAATCAACCTTTAATGGCAACAAGCAAATCTTCCCTTCAGTCTGGCTGCCACCTTCCAGCATCAAGGCATCGCTCTGTCCTCTGCTCACCATGCCCGGGCATGGAGCACCGGGCACGGGGCATGACTTTCACACAGAGCTTCCTTCCTGTGATAATCAGGCTTGTTTTGGAGAGTTGGGAGAGCTGTATGCACTGAGGACTAAAAGCTGCAGGAAATGAGACCAGAAATCAAGCCCTAGGAAATCACAGTGGGACTATAGGTGGGTGCCAGAATTCCTTACCCTTTTCCTGTTTGCCACTCCACACTCCACACTAACCAAGTGTCTAACACAAGACCAACAGTGTGCCACAGGGTATCTGTGTCACACACAGCCCAAGACCGACAGAACCCACCAACTGTACTCCAGGGGCTCAGAGAGACCCATCCAAAAGATGTTGCCAAGCAAATCATTAGCTTTCCAAGCTTTTTACTCCAGACAAGGCATTTGCTCTGACTCCAAAACCAGAAACACCAAGGAACAGACTATTATTTAAAATTTCAAAGACAACATATTGTCGATGGAAAAACTAACACTTCCCTTAGCCAAGTCAAATTTTATTTCCTAGGGTTAAAAATAAAAAGAATAAATTATCAGAAGTCCTGCTCCAATATCAGCAAAATGCTTTTTGAAGAAAGTTAAAAGAATTGTTTAAGGAGAACAGAAAAATTCAGATTTGCTTGTGTTCTAGATTATTTCTTATGTATGCAAAGCACCAGTGTCACATCCCTGGAAAGACAGGTTTGGAGCCACAGGAATCAGAGCAGCCTTGCCTGGGTCTGGAGCTCTGAGTATCACAGGAAAACATCACTCTGTCGTCCATAAATCCAATAATTCAATATATATCTTGAAAATATACCCAAATACTCTCACTCTCTCTGAACTACAGTATAGAAAAGTCTACTCACCGGCCATAAAAGTAGTATTTTCCTCTATACACAAATATAACCATATGTAAAGCAAATTAGGAACACATGGAGGGGAAAGTCTACAAAATCCCTCGGGATGTGGGCTATTTAAAGTCATTTTTGTTTGGGTTATCCCTCTGCTGGTATAGGAAACTGGCTACAAATACATCCATCTCACGGAGCCCACCATTTCAACAGCTCCTGCGTCATGGAATGTGGTACTTTTTAAAAATAGGTGACCCTTGGTGTCATGGAAAGAAGAGGAGAAATGGGGGTTGGAGGGAGGGACAGAAGGACAGAGACAGGCTTCAGTGACAAAGTGGGCTTGGAATACTCAGTGGTGTAAAGCGAATCCCTGGGCTCAGGAGGCAACCCCTGTCCCACCCTGCTGCCACCAGTCTGCCTGGCATTTCTTTCACAAGTCTGTTTCCCGGCTGCTGTCCAGGCAAAGTGCATACAGGGACCTTCGCAAATCCACGTTGCTCTTGGCCTTGAGGTTACACTTTTCCAGGGCACAGCTGCCCCTGCGGATAGTGTCTGAGCTCTCCAGGGATCCTCCGGGTTTGCAGAGGGAAGCCTTGCTCCAACTGGCCTTGCGAGGGCCTCCCAAGTCTGGTCCAGACCCCCGGCTCTGGTTTGCTTGCTCTTCCTTCAGGACCACCTGCTCCTCATTGTCTGTTTCTCGATGGTAGAAGTAATTGAAGTTGGAGACTATGACAGGAACAGGCAAGGCAATGGTGAGGACCCCAGCAATGGCACACAGAGAGCCCACAATCTTGCCCCCTACAGTGATGGGCCTCATGTCTCCATAGCCCACAGTGGTCATGGTGACCACCGCCCACCAGAAGGCATCCGGGATGCTGGAGAAGTGAGTCCCCTGGTTGTCAGCCTCCGCAAAGTACACGGCGCTGGAGAAGAGGATGACTCCGATGAAGAGGAAGAAGATGAGCAGCCCCAGCTCCCTCATAGAGGCCTGCAAGGTCTTGCCCAGGATCTGCAGCCCCTTGGAGTGGCGGGAGAGCTTGAAGATGCGGAACACCCGGACCAGGCGGATCACCCTGAGGATGGCCAGGGACATGGCCTGCTGCCCGTTCTGGCCACCCCCTCCTCCACCCCCTGGCTCTTGCTCAGCCAGCTCAGTGCCCAGGGTGATGAAGTAGGGGAAGATGGCCACGATGTCGATGATATTCATGATATTCCGAGAGAACTCAGCCTTGCTGGGGCAGGCGAAGAAGCGCACCAGCAGCTCAAAGGTAAACCAGACGACACACGTGGTCTCCACAATGAAGAAAGGGTCTACCAAGGTCCTGGGCAGGAGGGGCGCCATGGTGGGGCCGTACAGGGGTGCCACCGCTCCACTGCCGTTGTCTCCGGGCACGGGCACAGGAGGCTGGTGGGGAACTGGGGGCTGACGGAGAAGCTCTCGTTCATCCCGGAATTCTGGCAAGGTCTCCAGGCAAAAGGTAACGATGGAGATCAGGATGACCAAGACCGAGACGATGGCGATGGCGCGCGCAGACCCTGAGCTTTCGGGGTACTCGAAGATGAGCCACACCTGGCGCTGAAACTCATTTCGGGGCAGTGGTTTCTCTTCTTCTTTAAGGAAGCCCTCGTCCTCCCGGAAGCGCTCCAAGGCCTCCTCCCCCAGCTGGTAGAAGCGAATCTCGTCCACGAATACATCCATGGAGACGTTGACCGGCCTGCGCAGGCGGCCCCCGGACTGGTAGTAGTAGAGGATGGCGTCGAAGCTGGGCCGGTGGCGGTCGAAGAAGTACTCATTGCGGAGCGGGTCGAAGTAGCGCAGGCGCTTGGCTGGGTCCCCCAGGAGTGTGTTAGGGAACTGCGCCAGGGTGCCCAGCTGCGTCTCGAAGCGCAGCCCGGAGATGTTGATGAGGACGCGCTGTTGGTGCAGGGCCCCGGCGCCCAGCGTCTGGTCTTCCGGCACGCCCAGGCCAGGGTCGCCCTCTCCATCCTCGTCCTCGTCCTCTGGAGACCGCCGTCGAGGCTGCGGCAGCTCCTGCGTCAGGGGAGTAAACGGGGGCAGCAGCCCCAAGCCTGGGTCCGCATCCCTCTCGGCGGCGCTGCTGGCCTTGGTCCCCGGCTCCTGGGACGAATTGCTCAGCCCCGCCGTCGGGGGGCATGAGAGCTGCCCCGCTGCGGTCAGTTCGCAGCCTGCGGGGGCCTGGCCTGCTCCTCGGACTGTCATGGCCCCACCGTTCTCCAGGGGCACCAGGGCGATCTCCATGGCCCGGGGGCAGGGGGCATGCTGCGCCCCACGGGCTCCCGCGCACTGCTGGTGGCGGCTCCTCTCCTGCCGGCCTCTGGTCTGACTCCGGCGGGCAGGGGCTGCTGGCACGCTGGGTCCTGACGTCAGGCTGCCGCTGCCTTGCTCTCTGCCTCTCTAGGTTCTGGCAGCCGTTACCAAGCAGCCAAAAACCTCCTTCCCTCAGATGCAACCTTCAGCTGCCCCTCTCTCGCTGAGCCGCGCGGCCCCCGCCCATCGCGCCTCCCTGTCTCCGCCTCCTCCAGCTTCCCCTCCCGGGTGCAGGCACCGGCGTCTCCCGGGAGGGTGCAGCTGGCCCCCGGGATCCTGGAAGGGAGACGGCCCAGAAGGCTGTTGTCCAGCCAAAGCAAGGAGGGAGGGAGCTGCGAGGACGGAAGAACAGGTTGTACCCGGCGCGCGCTGAAACTCCCAGGGCAACCAGATGAGAATGGGGCTGGATTTCAGATCACCTGGGAATCCGCTGAAAGCCGGTGGACTCCAGGGAAAACAAATTGCCTTAGGCTGAAAGGATAAGGCTTTGAGCTGAGTCAGAGTTTCAGAGACACTGACAACAGCCCGTTGGACATTTTTTTTTTCCCCCCCTTTGGAGGGATAAGGATAATTCTGCTTTGGGAAGAATTACAGATGGGGGGACGGATCTATGGGCCTCAAGATTAGATAGATAGATAGATAGATAGATAGATAGATAGATAGATAGATAGATAAAAACTTGAGTCATTTGCAGGAAAATGAATAAATCTTGAGACCATAATAGTAAGTGAAATAAATCAAACAGCATTATATATCACGTGGTTTCTGTAATATGAGAAACCCAGAATATAAATAAAGAGCAAAATAAGAGATGTTAGGACACAGAGAGGTAGATTTTTTTTGGCAATGGAAAGGGTCTAGGGGAGAGACCAGAGGGCAGCAAGTGGAGCAGGGGAAATAAAAATGACAAAGCTTTATTGTGTGTGCACCTGTTCCCCAGGATGAATGTAATCATGTATCACAAACATATGCTAATAAAAATATTACAATTATATGTCACAATCTAATGTTGCTATAAAGAAGAATGTATTCATCCAATATAAAAAAGAAATATGTATGTATGGAAACAGAGACAGGGAGAGAAACAGCGAAGCATTTTCTTCCCATCTTTCTACAAACCCTCCAAAAGTCACAGGGCTGAAACCCTGCAGCAAACACCCTGCCCTTGATCTGAGTAAAACCCTGCTCCCAGCCAGGAGGCAGAGTTAGTCATGCAGAGCCAGCCAGGAGCAGCTCCTGCAAAGCCCCTGAAGATACCCTGTCTGGTCTCATAACCCCTCACACACAATCTGTAGACCCTACCCACCAAATTCCATTTGCAAAAACCCTAACAAAAAAGGGGAAGAGGAATTTAAAAATCCTGGTGAGGTCTGATCCTCCTGGTGAAGCTTGAAGCTAACAACAGCATGGAGGTTTGTGTGTGGAATTAGGGTGCAGATCTGGTTTATGGGAGGGATTCACTTTGCTCTTAATGCACACTGGCCCACTCCCAGGTCTTTACAAATCAACCTATTTTATGGGTGCTGTTGTTACCCCCATTTTATAAGGCAGAAACTAAGGAGTTTGACTAATTTGCCTCAAGTCACACAGGGGGAAAGGGCCCAAGCTGGGATTCAAACCAAGCTCTCAGGAGAGGGCCTTGCTCCCTGACATTCCTCCCTACTATAAAAATGCTTAGGCCCCTATACAGGGGTCAGTGCCAGGCCTGAGAGCACCAGTATCCCACTGGAGGACATGAGATAAACTGTTGCTCTTCTGGGCCAGGAAAGGGAGGTATCTTCCATTGCACCTGCCCTGTCCTTGCTCCTGTAGAACTTTAGAGGAATCCATAACTAGGGAAATAGCTTTTAAGACACATTTGACGGTCACAGACACAACTCCAGATGTTTCTTAGTTTTAAGTTCCCATAAAGTAGCAGTATTTTTGGAAGTCTGATTGTATAGTCTACTTCTGTCCCTCTATATTGCCAAGATTTACATACATGGATGTTACAGCCTCTCATTCATGAAGGGACCCACCCATAGGTGATGACGGAAGTACTTATCCCTGATTACACAAGTATCTATTGGAATAGCTGTGTGTAGACATATGAGCATGTGTCAGGATTTGAGAAGTATGTGTGCAATGCCGCTTTTAAAGAGTGGGCTGTGCACTCAGTACAGGTAAAGGTTTTTCTCAGGTATGGCTTTGTGATGTGGCAGGCTGTGTTGAGCATGGGCAGGAACAAGAAAGGGACAAGAATGTTAAAGTCAGATTGGAGAGGCATCGCTGGCTAACTTCAGAGCTTTGTGCTCCTCTGCACCAACCTGGCTTTCCCACCTCTGCTCCACCCCTACCACAGTGTTTTGTTTTGTTTTGACTTGATTTGTTTTTGTTTTTGCATGCTGGGGATGGAACTTAAGGGTGTGCACATGCTAGACAAGTGCTCTCTACTGAGTCCCACTCCCAGTCCTGTATCTATTGGTAGCATGGAGATTCTCCTCAGGATCAGCTCTGTCACCCTGTGGAGGGTGAGATCAGAGATCCATGATCACTGTACCTTGTTTACTGATACAGAAGCCTTGTAATGCAACGGTGTCATATTCGTTCACATGGACTCTACTTGGACTCCCCAGGGGAGACAATTCTCTGGAACTTGTCTTCCAGGAACCCTTGGGAAGACTGCTCCCTGAAGAACGAGAACATAATGTAAACAGTCCTAGAAAAGCACAGCTCTCAGGCCTTTTTAAATGTGGTATTTCCTTAAATCTGTTTCCTGAGCTTGTGCCAGCACAACCAGGTGCCTTGCAAAATTACCTTCAGAGGTCCTAGGTGGCAGCCATGGAGATAAACTGCTTAGACCTACCTTAAAGAAAGAAGCTGAAGCTGGTTCTCAGATGCAAGAGTGCCTTTAGCTGACAGCCTCAGCTGATTCCAGTTTTGGCTCCACCTACCTTTTCCCCACAGAGAAGTCCTCTGTCAGGTCTCCGTTGCAATCTGAGACTCTCCCTGCCCAGCCCTTCTTCCCTTTTTCCTTTCAAGAGTGTTAGATCAGCACTATGTACTGAATGCTTTCCCGAAAGAATTGTTTCCTTTCCCTTTTATTCTTCTTTTATCACTTTCCAATAAACCTCCTGCATTCCTAACTCATCTGTGTGTGTCTTCTTCCCGGAGGAATAGCACATGGTTGAGGCCTGCCTTCTCCTCTACCAACCCAGTCCTATGCTCCTTTTTAGAAGTGCCTAAGTGGGTACCATCACTCAAAGACTGCGAAAATGAGGATGTGATTCGGCTTGCATCTTAGATCGCATTTCCAAGTTCCCAGGTAAATCTAGGAGCACCCTCATTTTAGACAAGAACCAAGCAATATCTTTTGAGGAATTATTTGCATATTTCCCCAGAATGAGACACATGGAAGAGAACAAGTGAGAAATCTTCTCTTCATGCGTAGGACTGGCCCTGCCCTACCACCGGAAGAACTTAGAAAGAGTACAGAACCAATGAAAAAAAAGAGAAACTTTAAAGAAAGGGAAAGGGGTTAGAAGACCAGAAGAAGGAGAAGGAGGAAGAGGCAGAAGAAGTGGAGGAGGAGAAAGAATCCTAAATGCCAGCTTTACTAATCCACTCAAAAGTATTTATTGAGTACCAAGGACAGGATATTTCTCCAGGGCACTGTTAATGTATTGATGACCATATTTCTTGGTACTACATCCTAAGGAAGGCTAAAGGTACTGAGCATCTAACTTTATATTAATTTTAATGACAACTTTGAGAATAAAAGGCCTTGAGAAAAGTGAGGCATCTGGCTCCATCTAGAAGGGAAGCAAGCTTTCCTGAAATGGTTATGGAGAAAACAAACTATTTCAACTGAAGAGTCTGTGCCAGGACAAAGGAGAAAGGGACAGGGCTGGTGTGAAGAACAGAATTTATGGGGTCAACACATAGCCTTGCGGGAGCGTTTGGTGAGACTGGGCCAGAGAGGGAAATAAAAGCTGGGGTGGGCTGCTGCTTCACGGTCTCCCTGCTGTGTGACTACAGCAGCTTCCTGCTGTGCTCACACATTTTGTGTCTCCTAAAGCAAATGCACCAGCACACTTCTCTTTGAGCTTTCTGTTGCTTGTTTCCATCCTGTCTCTACGTCATTCCCCTCAGATTGTATCTTTGTCTTTATCTTCATGGTGCACATGTGCATCTAGCTGTATATTCCATCTAGAATGGTATCTATCACACCATTTATCTATCAACCATCTGTAGACCTACCTACGTATCTATATCATCTTTTTATATACAGACGAGGAGATGGGTAGATAGATTACAGATACAGAAAAATCTTGAAAACAGTGACATTCTTTATTCATCCCTCATTTTTCATGAAATACTAACCATGTTACCAGGTACACATGATTCCCCTTCCCTCTCTGTCTCTCTGTCTGTCTATCCCCTGCCCTTGAATTTGAGCACCTGGACTTTGCACTGATCTATATCTTCAGTCCTCCTTATTTTTTATTTTGAGACAGGACCTCACTAAATTGCCCAAGTGGGACTGAAACTTATGACCCTCCTGCTCCAGTCCCCATCGTGCTGGGCTTACAGGCATTGTCATCACCGTTCCAGGCTTACATTATACATTTCGATAAAGAGGTGCAATTGAACTGAGAGAAAGGACTTCAGCTGCTGGAGCATGGGGAAGGGAAAACTGAAGGATAGAATCAAAAGGTTGTTTCTGAGACACTGAATACTCAAAACGAAGATGACACCTAATCAGAAATTTTAATAGTCCTTTGGATGACCAAACGGGACAAATGGTGAATTAAATTTGTTCGATCCCTTTGTTTAGATTAAACATCACCGCACAGTCCATGACTGCACAACCAAATCAACTTTGTGGCTAAAAACAACTTAGTGTATTGGATTGTACAATTTAATTCCTACTATTGGAAACTTAAAGTAATTGTAGCTCCGTTTATCAGGTAAAAGTGAACCAAGAGCAAGGAGATGGCTGAATTTTCATCCAGGGCTGAGGTAAAGCTTCTGCCACTGGACAAAATCCAAAAGGACAGGAAGAGACAAGCTTAAAAGTTGGTTCTAATTATGCCTCAGCCTTTCCTGGCAAACATGGAGTTTGGTCCTGCATGATGGAAGGACTGGCACACATGGGCCCTCACCAGAAATGTGCCCAGGACCCTAGCAGTAGCCTGCCCTGGCAAGATAAATATACTAACCAAGAAGTCTGAACCTCAGGTGCTGTTTGAGGGGACCAGCAGCTGCTATTTTGGGGTACTCATCTGTAAGGAATTATCAGCCAGCTGCTAGGACCTCACCAGGTGCAACTGGGTGATGTTTTATTTTATAAGAGAAGTGCTCCCTGGGTTGTGTCTTCCCTCCGCCTTTTCTAT